CGTTCGCTTCGAAAATTGGAATTGAGATTTCTCTGCAAGTTTCGTAAAATGATGGCTGAAACTTTCTAGAAATGAAATTGAACCTGAACCTCACTTGATCGCGGCATATTACACAGCATAACTTGGTGATTTTGTTGAGAAAGCGAGTAAAATACTTACCGTCGCTAACGCTGCTTTTGGAGGCAGCCATGTTGTGTACGCCCTCAACATCAAAATATGTTCAAAGCTTGAGTTCTCGATGTCAAAACTAGCGGATTTTATTCCTGCAGCTAAGCTTTTCCTGACCAAGCTATGCTGCACGGTGTCAAAGCTGTGATTTTCATTAAAAAGCTACACTTTCATTGGTACCCCTGGATATGGTCGAGTACATGTCATGGCGCATTACGAAAATCGTGAACTTGAATAAACTGTTTGTCATTGAAATCCCCAAAGGATCTGTATCTAACAGTTATACGAGAACCAAAATTGCGTTGAAGAATTCGCATTAACGCATAGTTAACCCTGGAAAATGGTCTGACAGGTGATAATTTTTTTTATCAATTATACAGTCAAACACTACGATTAGAAACATCAATATGATCAATGCATAGTTTGGATGTCGGGCGTGTGACGTCATCTACCAACTGTACCATACTAGAGGTACATTACTTAGGGTTTGCAACGCGCATAGTACTGTATCATGACATCATGCCAAGATCCCATTCAAGTCTCATCTCGTAGATAGCGAGACTGAGGCTACGACCTTTTGACATGACAGAGGCGGTTAGTAATAAAACAATAAACATGTATTACTACATTCATAGTGAAAAAATGTAATACATCGAAAATGTAGTTATCGTAATCCGTCATATCGTGAGCAACTATTTTGATCCACCTGGACATCCCAGTATCCTAGTTACCTCGGGCATGCGCATTCGCATTTTTCTGAGTTGGAACGCTTATGCGAGAGCGAGATTGTAACGGGATCTTGGTATCTTGTCACCGTAGTTGCAAACCCCAAGTAATGTACCTCTGAACATACTAAGAAGTAACATTAACTCGTGCATAAAATGAGCGGTTTCATCGTGACAGTTTTGAGAAGGATAAACATTACAGTCCCCACAAGCAATCATTACTTTCTCCCCAGGTTAACCCTTTTCGGTGGTCCGTGCAATTGCAATACCGATATCATGGAACAAATTAGGTGGTTAATAAACTGTTGCTGCTGCAAAAAAAGAACTAGTTGTGTTGCTTAATTTCTAACCACACAATTACTCACCAGTTTCTAGATCTCGCCGTCTGATAAACGGAATATGACTTTTGATATATAAAAGTATTGCACTGCGCAGTCAATTAGACTACTAAGTATCTTTGCGCTCTGAATTGGAATTACCAATATGTAAGTCCGTGCTTGAAACCTCATTGATTAAAAATCTAAAAAAAATACCCACAGAAAAGTGCTTTCATTGTCATGATTTAGCAGAAATCTAACCTATTCATTTTTGTTCGAAACATGTTGAATATTTCATGAACAAATTGCATATTGTGTTTTTTACCTATGTTATTCTTAAGTAGACCGGCTCCAGTAGGTAAGTTTGAAATAAGAGAAGGTTGCAGAACTCGTCGTTGGTGTTTATGTTCTGTTTGACTACAATTATTATACCGGATAGCAACTCCATGCTTACATAGGTAACATTTGATAGAGCGAGTGGCCGACTGACAAACTGTCGACTGTGATCATTTCAAAGTGGGACATTTTCGGCCTCACGACGATTGTCGTATTTCTCGTAATGATGTACTATATGGTATGCATCATGGCCGTTACCCAAATAGAGACGACCACGAATACCCTGACTTTCGTTGCATTTCTCTGGGTTGCATTACTTTTGCGATTTACAATACACACAGTAAAAGTCAAGATCAAATCAGCTTCTTCCTTCTTTTGAGTTTAAGTTCACGTGACCTAAATTTAAGTTGATTTCCGAAATATTCGATGGATGTCGATTGCGTGTTTTAAATTAATAGTACCGATGACTTCATAAAAAATGTTTGTTCAAAAAGTGTCACATAATAGTCAATAGGAAGTTTATTACGTGCGAAAAGTAGCCTGCGTCCGTCATGTATTCGAGGAGGTGTAAACTCGGCATACTAACCCATATTGCAGAATCTGCATATTTATTTTAATGGTATTTGACTATCATGAGTTATGCAAATTGCTGCCGAGGCCGAATGGTTTCTGAAAGCGCGTGCATGTATCGTCGTTTATATACTGTAAAATGACTAATTTTCACTGGGTTTAAATTTCGCTGTTTTACCATTTCAGGCATATTCAGTGGGTTTTAAATTCACGGTTTTATCATTTAGATAATGTGTTCTATAATAAATTTTACCTATTTACTGGGTTTTAATTTAGCTCATTTTCCAATCAGCGAAATAAGCAAAATTAAAACCCAGTGAAAAATTAATCTTTTTACAGTATTGATTTGTATTGCTAATTTGCATATTTCAGACAGCAGAAGTTGTCATCAACGACAATACCAACGCGGGGGCGGTGGTGGTGGCGGTGTTTGTAAAAAAAAGCGCCCTCGTACGGCGTTCAGCAAAGCCCAAATATCGAAGCTGGAAGAAGAGTTTACAGTGCACAAATATTTGACGGTTGCTAAGAGACAAGAACTCTCGGAATATCTGAAGCTGACTGAAAACCAGGTACTTGTAAATCTAGGATCGCTGAAAAGTATAACGACACGATGGCAATCCTCAATTGTCACTAATACATTTTTAAAAATTCCAGTTAAAAAACAAACTACCTAACTTATTTTGCATTTTTCACAGATTAAAATCTGGTTTCAAAATCGTCGAACAAAATGGAAAAGAGACTTCACCAACGATCTTGACATCGCTATTTTTCAACACCAGATGGCGCTCTCCATGTCCAACGGCTGGTCTTCCTCTCGAGGATTTAGCACCCGCCATATTTATGGCCAATCAGTGTTCGACTTCCAGTCACCGAGAGATCGTCCGACATACAGCATTACAAGCAATGATATTATCGCCAGTACACATGGAAGCGAAGAAGCTAATGCCTTAACTTCTACTACCGCTAAACAGAATGATCGGGCTATTAAACTACCGGTTGTTTCAAGTCTCGTAGCCGGGATAAACTAGTGATGGTACGAAATCACGTGATCGGGATAAATTAACGATAGTATATATAAGATTTATGACAAAATTACAGTAACAATAGTATCTAGTCCCTAGTATCTAAGGAATACTAGCGATAGTATCAAGTTTGTTTCCTTACTGGAACTTCTAGTCGAAGTACGCCGTAGAGGTCGCCTATCATATTGTGTTTGTTAATGACTATTCGTCTTTATTGCATGTCGAAACAAGTTTGTGAATGTGTTCAGTGTACTATATATTTTTGTTTTGTGGATTTTTTTTCTTTTATTATTTACTACATAGCATTAACAACAACAAAAAGTAATACATTTTACAGCAAAAAATTATACACGAGAAAATAAAACACAAGAATCAGTATATACTGTTGGCAAATTTATATACCTAACCTCGGGGGCGGACATCCGGGCATTTTCACCTGGCAACCATCGCGGTGAAAACAAAGGCCGAAAACTCTCAGAAAACGGTACTTTGGGATGGTTGTTGAGACTCCCCTGAACAGTATAACAAGATTAGTCCTGCGTGTGTAACGCATATAAATTCGGTTGTTCAGGATTACTTCAAAGTTGAGTTTGTGGTATTTTCTCGAATTTTCACCGGCTCGTCGGGAGTTCTACAGCAGCGCGCACAGAGCCCATAGAAATGCATGTACAGTGGTGCGCGTCTTAGCAACGTCGAACGTCTGGTGCCGTAACTCCGCTCCCGAGGATACCGACATAATTGCACAATAGTTAATTAAACTACATTTGTTACCGTTTTCTAGTTTGATGGATATTGACTTCAGTGTTACAAGTGAAATAACCAGATAACTATTTTTTCTCTCTCAAAAATGACTAAAATTACATTATACATATTGTTAAGGCTATGTGTTTTCCAAACAGTTGTTTAAATCGAATAATGAGCGTTGAATATACTAATATTTCTAATCACTTCATCTTATCAGTAAGTAATATCTCAGGATAACTTGAAGGTTTCAGATTAGTATTTTATTTTTGTTTTTCGAAATGTTTACTAATTAATGGTCTTCAAAAATAAGAAAATGAAATAAACGAAAGAACAGAAAAAAATGCAGGATAATAACAATAATAGTACGAGATATATAAAATAAATACATAAATAAATAAATACACTCAAAAAACACACTAGATTATGTAAGCAGATTGCGTAAACGCCGCGCCATACTTCGTTTATGGCGATAATCTTAAAGCGTCTCCCTACAGTTTGGCTTATATACAAATGTATTTTAACGGGCGGTAGTCGTACAAAAAAAAGTACGAAAAAGAAACGTTACCGAGATTTAAATAGGTGATTCATCGGAAGAGTGAAACGCATTCACGAATGTTCCGAGGGGGGTCATATTCAGTATCACTCACGTTCGTGATTGTCACTGAGAGAGCGCAATGAATTGGACACTAATCGTGCGCATGCGTAGCATGGCGATCGTCGCCATTCAAACAGCGTCTTAGGTAAAATAATATTCGCGTGTGAACATGTAGATGCAGAAATAACATAGTGACAAAAAGTTCATTTGAAATTTGTAAAGCAGCCTCAACCTTAAATAAACCAAAAACAT